CGCGCACACGCACACACGCGCGCGCGCCGCATGGAGGGGAAGCTAATTCACTGTTAAAATGCACTGAGGATTTATCTTTCACTAAGCACATCAAGTGACATGTCAATGCATGTCATATTGATGTGCATTCACATCAATCACATTCAAATTTAAACTACTCATCACACACACTGTCGTTTTAAAATAAACATTATTTTAGGGTGATGATTTGCATTAATTGGAACACAGATGAAGTATTGAATGCAAAGGAAATAAACAACCAAAGTGTAAATGTTATTTGCGAACATTTAAATTTAAATAAGAAGGCAATAATCACAGAACTAAAGTTTTTCTTCAAAATGGAACTGATTGGCAGTAAACTGTTTTCAGAAAAGGGCAGCAATTATTGTTGAAAAAACAGGACACATTCCCAATGGTTTTTGAGCTTTTTAGATTATATTGCACTATTTATACCTATGAATTCAGTTGTGAACACTTTTTTTTCTCTATGTACAGACTGAAAACATCTTGCAGGAACAAACTGGGCAAGAAAGGATGTCATCCTGAGGATTGTTAGCAACTGAATGCCAATTTAGGACAGATATTAATAAAATTATAAATACTTTTGATCTTGGAAAAACCCAAAGATTTCATTGTAATTAAAATAATTTATTAATGTAGATTTTAAAATGTGAATCACACAGTTATGTATAAAGATTTGTGTTCATAATAAGTAATAAACACTTTCGCACTTAAAAGTATTAATAGAATAAATATTTTCTAATTTTTAATAGCACCCAAATTTCCCTTCCCAATGAAAGATCCGAAATCCCACTTCTGCTTTCTCTACCTCAAGCTAAGAATTGTGAACAAACTTGCAATAATAATAATAAAAATACTCATACTTGAGAGCATTTCTAAGAGCTATCACTTGTTAGAAAGGATGTGGGTAGGATAGAAAAAAATCTACATTTTGTGGATATATTTGAGAGCCAAGAGTTATTGTCACTTGGAATAGTCAAGTGATCATTTTATCTATGCAGGATCATTGTTCATTTCTTGCACTATTAATGGAAAATGAATGCATAAAATAATAATGATACCAAACAATATTTCTAAATAATGTCATATACTATTTTAATGTGTTCACTTACAGACCCAAGTTCATCAGACTTCCTCTTAAAAAAAAATACTGTTAATTCAATATAATAGATTTAACACAAATATAACCCAAGAAATATTATTTACAAATTATATTAAGAAAACAAAATTTGTTTGCTGTGAAAGAAAAGAACTTGTCATTATATCATTTCACAAATGGTATGAAATTCTTGTCATCAAAAAAGGAAATGTGTGTCAACAAATCTGATTTGAAATTCCATGACTTTTCCAGGTTTGGTGTGAAAAAAATTATGTAGCATGTCCCCACAGATTAAGTGAAATGTTTGCATCACAGATTTTGCCTGTTGTTTATTATTAAAAAATAATAAATAGTTCAATCCTTAAACACTTCACAAAATGGTAAGTAATTAAAAGTAAAAAAAGGAAGATAATCATTACTATAAAAAATCATTTTGCAGACTTTGCATGTGTGGTGAGAAATTGGCAGGTGACTTATTTCCATATCTTAATAAACTTATTTATTTTCAAAGAACATCTTGCCAGATTAGTGAGACTTGAAAAGAATTGAGGACAGTTACACAATGTGGTCAGGTTTGCTCAGTCCAAAGCATCCAGGACCAGTAAAAATCCATATGTGTTATTTCATAAAGGAAGAAAACTTTTGAATTCAATAATTTCTTCCATAAAATTAAAACTATTTGAATAATTTGCTAATAATTAAAATTTATTTTCAAATTTAAAATAATGATCTTTTTTTTCTCTATTGGAACCTAAATTTCCTGGAGCTTTTGCAGTTTTGCAAATTTGTTGACACCCAGGAAAAATTTAATCAAAAATATACAGAGCCTGTACCAAGATTCCAAAATAGTTGTTGAAAATGACCAACACAGAACAAAGCAGATGAAGATCAACATAAGTCTATTACAAGGATGCATGCTATCACCACTACTCTAACATTTACTTAAATCACACAACAAAAAAATGGAAACAGAAAACTGAAGCAGGGATAGAGATAAGAAACAACCAGGAATTAGTGACAATATTATTCACAGATGACCAAGTTATAATAACATTCAGAAAGCACTACAGCAAGCAGCCTACAAGTTGAACAAAATAAGCGAAGAATATCAAATGAAAATATCAAGCCAGAAAACTGAACACTAGCTTTCTATGGCAAAGAACACACTAGAGCCAAAGTAGTAATAGAAAATTCAATAATTGAACAAGTTATCACTTTTAAATATCTTGGAATTTCAATTGGATTGAATTAGGATATAGAAGAAAAAATACAAAAATATAACAAAAACAATGGAGTAATAAAGAGACATTTTGGACATATGAGAAAATAAACAATGATGAGAGTCCATAATAATATATCAAAATCAATGATAAATTATGGTTCAAAAGTGCAGATTATGGGCATAAAGGAAACCAGAAGCATAGAAGTAGCTCAGATGAAGTTTCTAAAGGCAGTGTTAGGAGTAACAAGAGGAGACAAAATTCAAAATAAAACTATTACTAAAGAACTGGAAAGAGGAAACTTAGCAGAAGAAATAAAAAAATTACTAAAGGAAAACAAGAAAACGTGAAAAGAATGGACAAACATCTACTACAGATGGCATAGACCAAATGGAACTCTCCCTCTGATAGAGGCAGACCAACAAAAAGCTGACACCAGCAAGAACACTTCACCACATTAAGGAAATACTGCTTTACTACCCACTAACAGGACAGGAGCACTGATCCTAAACTGAAGATGATGATTCATTACAAAATGAATGGAACAGCAATGTCATTCACAGCATATACATAAATAATAATAATA